ACGACGAGCCAGTTTGACATCCCTAATATTAATATATATAAATAATATATTATATAATTATATAACTAATATTATATAAATATATAATATTTATATTAGAATATTACTAATATAGAATATTAATATATTATTATTATTAGTTTATTATATATTATAATTCATAAATTTTAATTTTTAAAAATATCATATATTATTTATATATAATTATTTTAACGATTCGAACACGAACGAACGCATCACTGTTCGTGTTTGGTTCGTTTAACTAACTGAACGAAAAAAAATTGTTCACGTTCGTCTCGTTTACTTATCAAACGAATCGAACACGAACTCATTGATGAACCGAACACGAACTGTTCGATAATAACGAGCTTTTTTGACAGCCCTACGCACCACCCAATTCTTATGTATTTACATATCTAACGCTTACACCAAAAAGATGATTAAAAAAAGATGATTAAGAGCACAAAAATTAATCCAAAATTTATTTTTTTCAGCATTTATGTATTAATATATCATATATATGTCATCTTATCCTAACACAAGCATGTCAGAACATTCAGACATAATATTTTGCATTATTGATCTCTTTTGTTTTATAAACAGGATAGAAATGCAAAATCAAAATACAGAAAACTTATTTGTGAAGGTATATATGGAAGGAATTCCAATTGGGAGGAAATTAGATTTGTTGACTCAAGATGGCTATCAGAGTTTGATAAGAACACTGCAAGAAATGTTCAGAACCACGATTATCAGTAAGAATTATTTCATTTTCGACCTTAATTCCTTTATTTTTGGTGGTTCTTCTTCTTCCACCATATTGCATCAAGACAACTGATGCAAATTTGCATCACGTGTCCAATAACAGGGAGCCACGTAGCAGTTTAGGTCCGCTGACATACACGATTCGGGCCCGGGTTGCCACGTGGCACCCTGTCATTGGACGCCTATGGAAATATGCATCACTTTGTTGAAAATTGAAAATTTTACATAAATATCACACTATTTTCATGTATTTACATATATCTAACAGCTTGGATGACCCTATGCATGAAAATGTGTTTTTCACATCTTGAAACTTTAGGAATGGTGAAATATATGATGTGATGTTAATGATTTGAGGGCTATGCATGTAAACATGAAAGTTTAGGTGCTAGATATGTAAATGATTAAATAGGTAGGATTCGTGTGGAATATATGTAAATGCTCCGAAAGTCTTATTGATAGTTGATGGTTTCAATAGAATTATTAGCATTCTTTTTCTAGAATATTTGACTATAGTATTGCTTGACTGAAGTATTGCTTTTTTACATGTAAGCTTGAATTTTCACACACACACATACACACACACATACTTACATACATACATACATACATATATATATATATATATATATATA